TGTGTGTGTGTGTGTGTGTGTGTGTGTGTGTATATTAAAAGTTATTTTAATATATTTATTTTATATTTTTTAAACTACTTTTTGATAACAATTTTTTAAATGATGTAATTTTAAATAATTTAAGAAATGATCTAATTTTCTTCTAACAATAAGCAGAAAAAGTATTATAACAAAATCAACGCTAATATTTTAATACAAACAGAACTCGCAGGAAACTTTGTAAATAAAATGTTTGTTATACCCTTGTATCTCCAAATGGGAAGATGTAAATTTCGTATTGCAAGCTGTAGAAAGAAATCGTCGCCGAGTAATTGTTGCCCGTTTGCAACGGGTTCATAAATGCTGTCCTATTATAATTAACATAAAAAAACATTAAATACCTTGCAATACTTTTCAGAAAATTTTACCTGGTGCACAATAAGTTTAACTGTACACTCACATGTTTTTTCACTTGGTTTGTTTCTATTACTATCGGATGATGATTTTCTTCTTTCCAATATAAAAAATCTTTATTTTTATAAACGCCATCTAAAGTAAATCAAACTTTTTATTTAAAAAAATATCTTTTTCGTAAAACACAATCATTAGCTCTGATATTATCCCAAATGATTTTATTTACAATGAAATTAAAATCTAAAATTATAAAAATATGGAGTAAAATAAAATTATAAAATAAAAATGTTATAATAAGAAATAACAATAAATCAGATAAAATCTTAAAATTGTATAATCTATAGAAAAGTTCCTGAAAGCACAAATAAAAACTATATTGAACAAAATTTCGTAAATTATAGAATGTTATTTTTTTTTTTTATTCCTACAAATTTAAAACTGAATATCTTACTGGTTCCAAATAAATTTACATCACGACGTTGAGCGAAATCTTGATTCCGTCTATTGATTCGATCGGCATTATAAATTAATCTATTCCTTTGTCTACGATCATCATGTTTAAGATTGCCATTTCGCATAAACTGTTTATAATATTTGTTCTAAAAATAAAACGTTACTATTGCTTGACTTTTTTTAATCTATGTAATTATTATTACGTATTTATGTAAAATACGAATTGCCATGTCAACGTACTCTCGTCTTTGAATAATCCATTTTTTGCTTGCGTATAAGTCTATCGATATGAGATATTTTAGAATCATTTATTCTTAATGTTTGTTCACCAAAATTATTCCAACTTGTCTCCAAACCATCTATAGTTTGTAAAAATGCACGGAGACTCGTAAATCCTAATCTGCGATATGGAATAGATTCTCCGACGAGAATTTGAAATTCATCTGTAAAAACAGTTTTTTTTTAATTTTTAAATCTATAATCTTGTACGGTATAAAATTCTAAATTCTGAATCTTATTATGAATTAATATTTTATCAGATTTATATAAATAATAAAATCATTTTATTATTTAAATCTGAATCTTATTTATTTAGTAATTTTACAACATTTTATTTTAATGTAATTTTCATTTTAATGTAAATTTAATTTTAATTAATTTTCTTAAATTAATCTTAAAGAAATCAGCTTGTAAACTAATTTATTTGAAAAGAAATTCTGCAAATTTTATTTGAACGAATAGAAGTAAGTCATACTTGTATTAGCACGAGACATTTATTCATGAATCTAGGATTTTAATTGTAGAATCTAAGTTATTTATATGTGTGTAAAAAAAATAATATTATATATTAAATAGAAGGAAAATAATAACATATGTTTAATAATTTTTACTTATGCTAATATCTCTTAATAAATATTCTTTCTTTTACTCTCTTTCTCTTGTGTACCATTATGTACATAATATGTAGTATTTTATAAATTAAAAAATATTAGTTAAATAAAAAGAATAATATATATAACCTCTTACCATTTAGATCTGTAATTGGTACACCGCCTTTCTTCGAAATTATGCATGATTTAATCAATGCCACCGTTTCTTCCATTCTTATGTCTGACTATTAACTATCATATCTAATTATTAAAGAAATAATTTTTTAATATAAACTTTTGCTTTTCAAAGAAACGTGTAAATTTTATATATACGCGAGTGAGTAATTTAATCACAATTTTTCACTTGTATACTTTATATCTTATAGAAAAATCTAACTCTTGTAAAAGTTCTGCAGACCTGCTGCTGTGAATATTAATTCAGACATTACGGCGATGTTCGCACTCACGAACGGTGTACTGAAGAATGAGTGTCGATTCATCTCACGACGATACGACCTACCCCCAATACCCCCATTCGTATACCAATGTTCTGGAAAATTCCATCAATTCGTAAGCTTGGCTTACAACGCGTGATCTATATAGAACAAATACCAATACAAAAAGAATGTATACACACAATGTTTGAATGAAAGTAACGTGGAATCTTCTGCTGATACTGTTCATTATGACGACGGTTATAACGATTCTAAGAACCTCGTCCTAAGACAATATTGTCTAAGCATTTATAAAATTTCAGGCATTTTTGATAATAGTTTTCATATAATCGAATTTTATTTTCTATACGAAAATATTATAATTTTATTATATTTATAATTATATAATATATTATAATTGCATTATAAATTTTGTTATGAACGGATGATTTGATATCGATTTATAGATTTATATACCTATGTATATTATGTGTGTGGAAATGATTTAATGTAAATATTCTGCAATTGAATTATAATATCTTCATTCACAAATGCTTAATCATTAATTACAAATTCAATCATTTGGAGCAAAAATCCAAAGCAAAAATTTTTGAATAATTGTATAATTTGTACAATTAATACTATAAAGTGGTAAATTATAAGTAAAAAAAGCTATGAATTTTCCTTTATCAATTATCGGAAAAAAAAGGTTCGCTTTTATTCTGTACTTCAAACAAAATGCTTTAAACTTTAAGTATAGTTTTCATAGCTGTAGTTGAGGAATATGATTTATATAAGAATAAAGTTTATTATTGATTTATATACATACTATGAAAGATTTACGTCAGTATCGGCAACTATTCTTTGTCATATATAATACTCATAGAATATATTCACAATGCAATCAAATATAATGTAAATTTTTCTTATACATAATTTATATAAAAGAAACAGCATTTTCAATTTTTACATATAAATGTAATCATTCAAACATTGATTAAAAAGATAGTACATTATCAAATTCACAAGAAGTGTATTTGGAGATATTGAAATGATATATGTATATAATGTAACATTAAAACTAACTGGAGTTTATTTTTCGGCAGATCGCTCGAGATGCCAATACTTACAAGGCCTCTCGACAAAGTTCTGGAGAGTTTTGACGGGTCAGTAACTCCGAAAATATTTATGTCGTCCCAAACTATTCTTACACCCGCGACAAGGATATTTTTGGCTAATGTTGGGTAACTCCCGTATACGTTTTGTTGCTTTTCTCTTAATTACGGCTATTCGCTGGAATCCAAAAATATCGTTTTGCAAATTGTAAAAATGTCTTTGTGATTCCTTTTAATGTCATTAATGAAATTTTCGCCAAGTAATCATAAATAAATCATTAAAACATATAAAAGGAATCCATAAAAGATTCCAATATAATTTTATGTTTTTAATGTTTATTGACTTTTTTTATTGATTAAATGTCATATGCAAAATATTTTCTTTTTATTGAGAATTATTTATTGCTTTCGGAAATTATTTATTAACTTATTTATATCTAAGAAATCTTTGCATCAACATTATTAATTTCCTTATTTAGGAAAAAGTTTATAAAGCTATTTCAGCGCAAAATGTGTATCTTTCTCAAGAAATAAAAAAGAATCTCGTTTGTATTTAATCTTAAAAAATGCTACTCACATTTTTCTTATACTTTAACTCATTTCTAAAAATTTATCTGCACAATTAAACATTTTTTTGCACTTTTTAATATCTGTTTTATAAATTAAAATGTAGTAGAATAGTTGAAGTAATATTTTCATATAGAAAAACGACTTTAATGTTAACAATCTTATTAAATGTCATTAAAAGTTATTAAAATTTTAATAACAACGACTGTACTAAACTTGAATTAGCACGTGAAATTCACCTACAGTAGAATTTCAAAGTTAAATGAACCTATATAGAAAATTTAATTTTTTTTTTCTCTTTATATATATATATGTCTTTGATAGATTCTTAAGTTTAATATTCAAAAATATACGAATTTCCGAATTTATATACATTAAAATAAAGAAATTAAGAGAATACGAAAATATAGAGTTATGTCTTACATTTTTTTTTCCAAGAAAAAAAAACGCCTATTATCAAGCGTTCTTTGCATTTGCTCGATAATCTTCCGCAAACTGACGCCCTTCTATTCTTCTTGCATCAAGGCTTCTGATACATCGGTTCATCTTCACAGTGGGTAGTGGTGGAGTGCGCACTTGTTACGGAAGGACTTTCGAGATATCGAAGTTCCCGAGGAGTCTAAAGGGTCGCGCACCGCAGGGGGTCAACAGATGTTGCGTCAAAGTTATGAGAGCTTCACGTGTCATTGTATTGCAATATACGTTACCTCAACTATTTGCATGTTTCGTACAATATTAGAATACTGCAGGCGCTATGAGGAACTCGGTTACGGTAAGTCAAATAAACTATGAGAATTATGAGATGTCAGAAATATTTATGTCTTTCGGCAATGAATCGCAAATTTTGTTGTCTACCATTGCTCTTGATTTATCAAATAATAATCCCGAAAATATCTGTTTACCTTTATATTCTCTGATTTAACAAAGTTGTTGAATTATTTATATTTAATTGATATTAAAACTGCTGTAATTAATTAAAAAAAAAAAAAAAACAAAAATAAATTTTGAATATCTTTGATGTTCAAATTTTGCTCGTTTCTATTTTCAATCATATTGATAAAAATCGGCAATACAACTAAAAGCTAATATACTTTTATTCTACAATTCATAGAGTTTAATTTAACGATTCAGTTACAAAAAATCTTTTAGTTAATTTCCAGTTTTGGTAGAATTGCTCTGGGAGACTCACGTCTACAGGTAGAAATGCAACAAATATGAAGAATCCAGATTGCACGACAGAATTCCCTTAAGCGAGATATCCTCTCATCAGTCGTTCCATTCAATGGATTAAAATAAGTAATTACAGCGTTTGTTATTGTACTTTACGGAAGCGGACGTATATTGCGGAGACAGGAGACAGCTCGTGTCGTATCGTTCGTGTCTCGATGCATTAAGAGGGAGAGCATCTGGAAAACGCTTTCCGGCGTATTAAACGTACAGTGAAAGCTTCCGCGCGTGATTACTTGGCCAGTGAGGAGACAGGGAGCGAACGCTTTGAAATTCGACGCGGATCTGCGCTGGGAAATGTATGCGTGTTAAAGAAACAGCCGTGCGAACAAATAGTCCATGAACAACCAACCGATGTCTGGCGATGTCTGGCGATGCTGTGTGACAAACGACCGATCTGAAGGGAGATAATCTCGAATTTGCTGGAAATTTAGTTTATGCGAGTGACCAAATACCGCAGATGCATGGTCCATAAATTCTACTAATTTATTTTATACACAATTGCTTATCTCTGTACTAGTAATGCTTTTATAAGTAATTAATCCATTTTGTTTAAATTCAATTTACTAATTATTTTATTATACTATATTAAATATTATATTAATTATATTAATTTTATTTATTGAGTATTCTATTCTCGTTTTGTTTTTACTTACGCTTATTTTTCCTCCTTTTTTTGTGATCATATGTCTCGTTTTTAGCGCAAAAAGAATACAGAGTTACAGTTGTATCTTCAATACATTGATTGCGATTATACGACAATTGAAACGATGTAATTAATTAGTCTTTTCTACCGAGCTAGTTGAAAAGCTGTCGCCGGTCTCTGTGAGAAAAAGAACAAAAACAGTAGCATTAAGAACCCTTTCATCTTGTAATTATCTCTGCACTTCTTTTATATGCGTCTTGCAGCGAAGCTGCGAAAGCTCGGGATAATGAAACGCGCGGTTTTATGTGAACTACGGGTTGTGCTTTACGACGTGACTTTTAAGGAAGACACGGTATTGTAGAATCCTTCAGAAGCGTTGAGCGACGTCGGCATCGGGTGACGATCTAGCGTGGCAAAACATCGACGATATATGAGAGTGCTTTACGGGATATAGGAAAAGCAAAGAAAGAGAGAAAGAAAGAGAGAGAGAGAGAGAGAGAGAGAGAAAGAGAGAAGAATCCCCATAAAAATCTCCAATTCTAAATTTGCCATTAATAGCACGGCATGATGAATGAACGCAGATGCATTCGACGTGCCTCGTGGGACGTGCCTTGTTTTGAAAACGTGCCGATACTCCAGGAAAGCCTCGTACTGCAACGGCATCCGATGAACTTTCGGATTTACTGTAGCCGTAGAGTATGTCCGGTTTCTCTCTGCGATCTCTCCGCTCCGATTTCCCGTGTCATGGCTAGCGAGCATCCCTCCGTGAATATATCTCATAAATCGCCGGCAATTTCAGCTGTCTTCGGTGACACGACAATTCTCGGTGACCCAGAAAAGAACGTATACCTTATGCCATTTCTACCAATGTATTATAGATTACTTTACTTGGGGTTTAACTTACTTTTTATCTTTTTCTATTCCTAAGAATTAGAAAAGGATAAAAAGTAAATTAAATCGAGATTAAAGTTAATCTATTGTACATTGGTAGAAATGGATATTAGAATCGAAAAATGAAAGTGATGTGAGGTTAAAACAGAAACATATGCTTTTCGACGCAATCTAAAAGTCCATGTTCATTCATATAATTAATTTCAATGCAATTTTTATTTTACAAATTATTAACTATTTAAAAGAAAAATAACTTGTGCTCGTTTCTATGTATTTTTAATTTCAGTTGAGCTTCACCTTTTTTTAATTCTTGAAATTAAAAAAAAGATAAGTTAAAGATTAAGGTTAATCTACATTGATATATTATATGTACATATGAAATGTACATTAATTATATAAGATAGAATTATATAAGATGAATGATAAGCTGTCGTTTATCATCAAAGACGATACAATAAGAAATTAAAATTGTCGTATAAATAATTTTAATATAATAATGTCACGTTTATATATCCATAAAATCAGAACCATTGTATTAATTATAACCATTGATAATTTATCGTGATTTACAGAATATTGGAAATATGTACATTCATGTTGCCCAGAAATTGTA